GAAGAGCGAACGTTCTGAACGTGCTCGTTATCTGAGCCGCAAGTCCGGCTCGCGGTTGTTCCGAGTCCGGATCTTGATAGTGTCAAAATCCTGACATGACTTTGTCTATTCGATCGCAAACGATACAGTATCTCGATTTCAGGATTAGAACCTGAAGCCTAACGGTATTAGATCCAAGGTCAGCGATCGTCGATCTGATGAGACGTTAACCATCTCTCCTCGAAATTATCAGACACGGAGACAGGCTCCGGAAACAGGAACAAATCTCTCTCGCAGCAGCGCAATGACACTGATTCTCCGCGTGTCTGTCGAGTGTATCATTGATGATCCCGTTCCTTCTGTTCTTGAGCTTTCATTTTCCTCCTTCTGCCGACGATACAATAGACGAACGACGCGCTTGAACGACTATGAGAGATTTTCCAGGATTTCCCCTCTAGAATGCCTTGTGTCAGATTCGTCCTTTCCTATCTTCCTCTAGATCCACGGTCCTCAAGTGGCGCTGTCGAGGACAATGGACTTTTTGTTGTCTTTACGACGACCGACCAGCTGGCGAATTTGCGCGGAGATGCTCGTGGACGGTCGGTCGATCTCCTCGATTGTTGAGGTAGCCAAGACCACCGCGAGAGTCGGCGATGACGATGACAACGACGAGGAAGAGGAAGAAGCGGTGGCGATGCCGCGACGACTGACGGTATTTGTCGACTGGCTGCGTCGTGACGGCGTCGATCTGTCGTCGCTGGACGTCGCAAGCGGCGTCCTCGCCGTCGACGACGACTGCGTCGCGGATCGTTCTGACGCCGTTGATGACGTCGTCGAACCTCTGACATACTGCTGGTATCTCGTGGTCGACGATGCTTGTTGCTGCTGCTGTTGCGACCTAATTGCATGATAGGCGCCCCTCTGTTGAGTTCGCGACATGGCCAAACCTGTTGCCTGATCTCGTCTGAGATCGTGAGGTTTCTCGTTGCTGATGTTGGAGGATGACGAGTAGTGCGAGGGCGACGAGACAGGGAAGGTAGTGCTCGCGACGGAGGTGGTGACGGCGGTAGTGATGGTGCGTGTAGTGCCGGATGTGCCGGTGACCGTTGGTAGAGCTGCTTTCGGTGTACCGTTGACCAACGACTGGACCGCAGAGTTCGATGGATGACGTATGAAAGACTCAGGAGCAGGGACTGGAGGCCGTTGCTGCTTGTCGTCACCCAGATCGCCAGCACAGCCGTAATCGTAGCTGCAGCAAAGTTGCCCGTCCTACGAAGAGGTTCGTGGGAGATTGGGTTAGCCACGGCGGAGGGAATTAAAAGGCTTTTCGTTGTCGATTTGTGTGGTTCGCCGACTTCGGGTTGGAAAGTCTTGGTTGGCGTGACGTACGAGAGAACGCGATAGCATAGTGAGATCTAGAATGTGTCGAAGATAAAGAATGCAAATATATGAGAAGGAAATGAGTACGAGCTTGCTTATCAAGAATCAGCTTGACTTGACCGAGTGTTCCGAATAAAAGAATGAAATATATTTTTTTATTACTTGGAGTTCTCCTTTGCGATAATAAAATATTATTGCAATTAATTTTAATATAATTTCTAATTTTTTTGTCTATTTTGACTAATATATACATAACATTGCCTGCGTTCTTCTTTCAATAATATTACAACTTTTTTTTTAGTTTAATTATTTTTACATAAAGAAATTTTTAATAACATTGAAGAAAAATGATTAAATACTCATTCAATAATAGCGAAATATTTTATTTTCCTCATATTTTAAACGGATTACTTTATTTCTCATATCTTATATTTTTCTAAATGTCGGAGAGAATCAAGAACGCTAGCAAAAATGTTTTAAATATCAGACGGTTATTCTCGTAATCGATTGTCCGGCGGGCCAAGACTTTCCGACCTGTAGTGGAGAGGCAGGTACTTGTTCACAACACATAGTATGTAATTCATTGTTTCGTAGAACAATACCGCATCAGTTCCGCCGTGGCGAGATAATAAACCAACGTGCAAGAATTCAACCCCCGTTTTACTTTCCTTGAAACTTTCCTTGCGATGTCCCTCGCACCCGTACCGATGGCACGCACCCTTTTCTTTCGGCAAATAGACGACTTGTAAGTGGTTACGATAACAATTACAATAACTGTAAGGACACTCATGCTGACATTCGAAGGGGGGAGGGGCAAAACAATGAATTTCCATAATATGTCTTTGATACCTGGCGACAAATCTCTAAGTTTTCTACTACTTTTTGCTACGATTCTAGCGAGATATCTTTCTACATAATATGCATATTGAATACTTGCATTACATTATTAATATAAAATTATGCTTGACAATTAAATATTTTGATAACAGATCTTAATTTGAACAATAAATTCTGAGATTATTTTCTTCATACGTAATTTTTATCTTGCGAGAATCGATGCTGGATAAATCGATACAAAGAAAGAAAGAGACCTCTTGGTGCTTCTATCGAATTTCAAATGCAGATCGGAGGAGGGTGCAGTGGAGGCTCAGGTGCGACAACGATTCGATAAAAAAAAAAAATAAAAGATAAAAAAAGAAGAGAAAAACACACCACAAAAAAAGGGGAAAAAAAAAAACAAATACAGTCGCGAATCCAAGACGCAGTCCGCGTATATGTGTTGTGTGCACATGTATGTGTATATGTGTCTGCCACCTCGTGCGCCATGCTCCTCGATCGACACGAGAAAGACTCGCCGACCGAACGGATTGCCTTCTCTTTTATCTTTTTGCATGAACGACCGTGCGTCTCAGAGTGTGCGTAAATAAAAAAAAAATGAGAGGATGTGATGCGCAACGTTTGTGAGGGGAAAATAAGTGATAGAGTTCGTAAGGTGCATTGATGCATGCAGATTTCAAAAAACGTGCAGCCGCGGCCGAGATAAGATAGCTCGCCGCCGTATTCTCATTCGATTCGACGAGTTGGTTGAATGCGACGATAAGGAACATGCAAATTATTTTTCGTCTAGAGGCTCTATATTTATTAATATAAATATTTGTCTATTTTAGATAAGAAATTAACAAACGAAATATCATTAATCACAACCGTATCTATTATTGAAATGATAAGATTTATAAAGAATACAAGATGAACCAAGAACAATGACCATTATCTCAAACATCATCGATGATCGATAATTTTTGCTCAGTAGATAAATAAATATTAAAGAATTTTTTTGGCAAATGTCAATTTGAAATCCCTTCGTTCTTATATAAGAAAATCGTCAATATTACGTCGAGAACATTCTCCTTCAAACGCGACGAGATGCACATGCTACGTGCTCGTGATACATTTATATATTCATTGTCGAATAATGATAAGCGTGCGACGATCAACGTAGTGATAACGGGTCTTAATAGGACATTAAAGAGAAGAAACAAACTAGTGGAAAAAGAACTACAGTATCAAGCGAGGATACGAGATACAAAGACATTTAAAAAAATGAAAAACGAGAGAGAGAGAAAAAATATAAAAATCTGAATTTAAAAAAAGAAATAGGCAAGAAGCAAGCGTGAGGAAGACTAAGACAGCACTGGAGCACTCCATTAGTCGTAGTACATTAATCGGCAATAAAGACAGAAGAGAAGAGGCAGGTAGTAGAGATTATAGGTGAGGTAGAAGTGACGTGATTACCGATGCACACAACACGCGCTATTGCTCACCAATTGGGCGCAGTACGGCACCTGCAAGGATACCCATTGTTAGGCTATATGAGATTAGTCAGTCACGGGCAAGGTGGCGGGGTTAATTTACAACAGCATGATCACAGGCAGACAATGTTTCCCCGATGCAACTTCCACCCTTCCCTTCTCCATCATCCCTTATGTCGCCCCCGCGTGACCAGGACCTCTCTGTGCGCCGATCCACATCCACGATCGTCGCTTAGAAGATCGATTCGATTGGCCCAAGCGCCAAGTTGAATCAGCCGAATTCCACTCCGGTGGTCCCCGGCTAATCGTTGCCAATATAATCGAATAAGATTGTACCGTCGCTCTTGATTGAATCGTTCGGCGAACGACGGTAGAGCACTGACGTCGGCGATCAGGCGATTCGATCGCGGATCGGATCGGCGGGGTCAAGATCGTGGTGTACCCTCGGTAACTATGAGGTCAGGTCCGCTTTCGATTAATTGTCGCCGGGCGATAAACATTAATAAAATGATCCATGCAGGGCCGACCCGAAGCACGCGCAATCGTGAGATCTCGGTTCGATCTCGGTTTGGCATATACAGGGTGTTCCGGATCTATTATGTTAGATTTCAGCCACGGATCTTGAGAAAGTATAATCTTAATTTCAATGCCGATAGAGAATCAGTTATCATAGAAAACAAAAGATTTTTGAGTATTGAGTTAACAAATTCAATTCATTTTTTGTCATTTCATTAAACGGAGATGACAAAATTGAAGATAGTTTAATTCACTCTTAAAAGATTTTAGTTAAAAATTTAATATTGAAAGCTAATATTTTTATAAACATTGATTTTTTGTTTGATTTATGTTAATAAAAAATTAACCAATGTTTGTACGGTCTAAACAGTAAATTAGTATGGAAGTAGATAAGTATGGAACACCCTGTATAATATTTTATCGTCACCCTAATTATGATATCTAAAGAAAGTTTTATAAAAGATATAAAAATATTTTTTTACGTATAGTGTACGTGTGTATGTATGTATAAGTAAACTTTCTAATCCTAAGTTTTATATAGGCAATCTAACAATAAATTCTAAATCGTTAAACTATTGCTAAAATTATTTATTATAAATTATTTGCTACTGCTGATTTATTATTTCCACAGTTAAAGATTACGTTAACTAGAAATCTCTGAAATATATCTATATAGGTTTATAGTTAGGGTGACAAAATATATAGGATATCGATGATGGGAGCGAAGCATTAATGATGAAGAAGCGAAACAACGAGCTTTCTCGACATTCAGAGTTTTCTTCGAGATTCATATGTATGCAGTCATATGTACGAACCGAAATTCTCACGGCCGTGGCAGTGTTCGATCGTCTATTATTTTTAAATAATAATGGTTTCTCATAGAAAATAATATATGTGACATTTTGTAAGTAATGTTAGAATTCTTTGCAGTCCTTTAGATATTTAGTTGACACTATTAATTGCAGCAATTGTTTGTTTAATTTAATTAAATAATCTCTTTCACATCTTTTAATTTTATTGTTAGAATATTGATAAAATATTTTAGTTTTTCATATGAAAAAGCATCAAAAGATTAAACGGATTTTTAATAAACAAAAAATTAAATAAGAGTAAGTTTCAAACAATGATAAATCGTGATAAAAAAATGAATTTTTAGGGCTCTAGAAGAAGACAGAGAGAGAGAGAAAGAAGAGAGTCATTTAATGTAATCTAATATACAATTTATTTTCTCTCACATGGAGGATAGAAACTAATGACGAACGCTGCCACGTGCAAGGCAGGCAACGAAAAATAAATGACATCTAGTTTAGACTAGCTTAGGGACGCCCCTGTATGTGTATGACAATGTATAAAAATATGTCTTGAATAATTTACATTGATGAATACAGCTAAAAGATCGCATAGCGCGACGCAATATAATGCACACCGAGAGAAGATGCTGCTTAATAATTATTATAATATAGACAACATCAATATTATATCATATATTTCACATTAATAAATTAATTTCTTTGTAAAATACAAGAATGAAGCGTTTCTGAATAATTTTAATTCAATTCGGTTAGTTAGATTCATGCGAGTGCGATGTTAAATTTCAATGTATATCTTCTTTTACGCGATATACGATTTTTCTTCTCTCAGCACACGGTTAATAAAATGTCAGCGTTTAGCTTTGCGGATTTGTTTCGCGTTAATACACACCGCAGAAACAAACGGCATACTACGAAAAAATAACAGTCAGTATGTACCTTGTATTATTCGAGGATTACCTACTGACGATACATAAAACAGAAAGACAGATAGAGAGTAAAAGGAGTGAGAAAATAAGATGATACGAATGCTTGTGTGTACGATTTCATGTATATATGGCGGATAATTTAATTGAACATATATATATATCTTAAGAAGAAGATGGAGATTATCGTAAAATGTACCGGTGAATATTTATGACTTGGTATCAATTAAAAAAAATGGATCTCTCATTATATTTTGTATGATTATATCTCTACAAAATAATTATTTTATTTACTAAAAAAAATAGATACGCGAAATTAATACACAATTATTATTAGTAATTTTATTTAAATATACTAGGGCACGCAACACAATTATTCTGTACAAAAATAACAACATTTGTAATAATGGAATGAATGTTAATTATTGTTACGGAATCAATTTAATACGAAACGAACTGAAATGAAATTGATTGACACGATTTACATCGATGCTCCGCCATGTATATATAAGTGTACATATTCTGCGATGGACGCCTGTCGCACAGCAATTATCTTGAGTCTTATGTCGGCATAATACAGCGAACGCAATTGAATAGGCATATGACACATCCACGGCTAAATTGAGGCAATATTTCATTTCATTTACTGACCTTGAGATTTTCAATTTGCGAGAGAAGAAGGCGCGATGGATACATAAAGATCTCGTTAAGATGGTTCTCGTTTTAATTCATTCGCTATTTAAATTTTGTCGCCTTATTTATAATTGAAAAATCAATCTATTACACTGAATACTTTATTCACGACTGATTAATCTTCTTCGAAACGCTTCTTCGGGAAGCGTACGGAAAGATATAGTGCATATTTTATATGCATAATTAATTATTACGTGTCACAAGTCACAAACATATTATACGATATTCTATATATAGAAATATTTTCTATATTACAGAAAATAAAAAAGTAGGATTATACAAAAAGATTTAAAAGGATATAAAAATTTAACTAATTTGTGCGCGACCATCCTTACTTTTCTTTCGTGCCCATAGCACCGTCCTTTTCCGGCGAATTTCCCTACCCCCTTCCCCCCTTCCCCCTTATCCTACCCGTGTCCGTCGGATCTCGTACGGGACCAGATCAAGGACCAACGGCAATCGCGGGTCCTGCGACGTGACGGATGACACGGTTGATCCTCCTCCTTACCTTGCACTCGCACGTGGTGCACTTGTCGTGGGGGTCCTGCCAAGAGCTACCGCTGTCGTGGACGATGCCAGCGTAGCTGCAGGGTCGGGGACGACTAGGAACCGTGAACATGGTGCCGTTCGTCGGCACCTCTCGTGCACAGGGATCGTCCTCGCAGCGCGGGCAACAATCGCCCTCCTCGGTCACGGGATTCGAGCAGGTTACCGGTGGACACTCCATCTGCCAGCAATCTATTTCGCCGTACTGCAACAAATTCAAAATAGAAATACAATCATATACAAAGATCGTTGTATCTCACAAATCTCTCGTCTACAGAAAACTCGGAATTAATTGTTTTTAATTTTTCCATAAAATTTTTGTTGTTCTTCTTTTCACGATAGAATAATGATACCATGAAGATTGTTATTTAAAGAATTTAGTTGCTCGAGAAATACCATTTTTTTTTTTATTAATTTCTCTATTCTATCGCGACTAAACGGCTTAAACAGATTCATTACCAGGCATTCGCAAGTCTGACACTGGTATATCCAACGTTCTCCGCTTCTGAAGACTAGGTGATGGAGCTCTTGATGCCTGCAGGACGCTGCGGGATTGCATTGGGGACAACATTTATTCCTATGGCTTCCCGGTGCGCTGCAATCGCATACGAGGTCCTTGCAAGTGATCACGCCGTCTTGACACGTGCATCTCCTGCAAGAATTTTCGTCCTGCGTCCAAGTGTCGCCATTGTTGATTTCGCGACCTTTGAACCAGCAGCCTATAAATATAATAATAATATAATAAGTTTATATTCTTTTTTTCGCGATATAATTTTAAAAATAATTTTATTCTAAGAGATGACGCATGTATGTGCGCGCGAAGGAATATCTCAATTAGACGAGACACGAAACTCACTGAGTCTACATTTCTCTGCAGTCTCCTCCAGATTTGTTGCTGGTGGACACACGCACTCGTAGCCGCCCTCGGTGTTGATGCATTTCGCGGTGGGATGACATGTATGTCTCCTCTCTATCGTCAGATCGTTGCACTCGTCGATGTCGAGGCACTGCGTGCCCTGGGTGCTGTCGTGCAGGGCGCTTCTGTAGCCGGACTTACAACGACAGTAGTACCAGCCGGGCATGTTGAAGCACGTGGACGACTGATGACACCGGTGTAAATCGCTGGCGCACTCGTCCAAGTCGAGCTCGCAGCTGTTGCCGATGTAACCGCGTCGACAGGAACATCTCCCGGGTGCCACGCACTCGCCGCCATTCTGACAGGTCTGATTGCACACGGCTGCACAAAAACAAGAGCTTGACTTTACTTCAGTTCAGAATCTTTTTTTTTTTTTTTTTTAGAAAGTGAAAGTATTGCAACTATCGAAAAAAAATCTTACCTTTTCAATTAAAACTAAAATCTGATTTTTAATATGAAACTCGACGCAATTTTTTTATTATTATTAATCTAAAAGCTACATCGCAGTGTGTAAATAATTTTTTCTTAAAACGAAAGAGAGTCGATCAATCGTCTCTTTAAAGAACGATGGAAATATTTTTTCTTTTTTATTTTTTGCTTCTCGCAATCTTTGCGGAACGTTGGAGAAAAATAAACGTTCCTCGCTTCAGTAAATCTTCTTTTATCGCTTCATTCATCGATGTGATAGAAATATTATTTCGATGGCGTTTGTGCACACACTCATCCGGATACAAACGTTCTTAAAGAAGATATACGTGCGAATCGTTTTCTATTTCCAACGGCATAAAATTCTTTAATAAAGCGAAGTATATTTATTCATTCTACAAATTGTGCGGCGCATGCGCTTGAAAGTATATAAATTTATTTATAAAAGCGTAAATATATATTTCCATTTATCTCTCTCAATAAACATAAATAAATAATATAAATTCAAATAATAAAAAAATGATCCTCTTTATCAATTTGCTTCTTTATTTAACAATCTAAAATTTATCTAAATAATAACATATATTTCTCGACGAGAAATGTCGGAATTCGTTGCACTAAATAGTAAGAAATTGCTGACTAAAACATCGATTATGTTATCGAGACGTAAAAGACGATACTGTACGTTTACACGTATAACCGTCGCCGGTATAACCGTCCTTGCAGATGCAGTAGTAGCTGCCGGCAGTGTTCACGCACGTGGCATGCTCATCACACTGGTGATGACCAGTCGTGCACTCGTCCAGCTCGGCGCAATTGAACTTGTCGACTCTATGGTAACCCGGAAGACACTCGCACGTATAAGAGCCGATCACGTTGACGCATCTCGTGTTTGCGTTACAATGATGACCGTCCAATCCACCTTGCTGCTTGCACTCGTCCACATCTGAATGATGAGACGAAAAGAAAGTGTGTTATTGAGGAAAGCGTAATTGATACAGTCCATGAATATTTGCGCATTAATTTATCGCACGATCGAAAAATGTTTATATACAGAATGTCCCTAATCACCCTTATAGGCCTTTTAAGAAAAAGGGAAGTGGATTTTATTAAAAATCACAAAAATTTTGATGACTAAATCGGTTTTTTTTATTGCAAATTCGGATTACATATGAAGATAAACAATTTTATTTACATAAATGAATAAATAATTTTAATAAATTTGTTATTATTTTAATAGCATGGTTATAAAATAATAAATTGTAATAACATGGTTAATAAACTTTATTAAGAAATTAAATATTTATTAATAATCTGGAAATAATTTTGAAAGTGTGATGAAAAAATCAACTTTAACTGCATCTCTAGACGAGTTAGCGTGTATCATTTCAATTTTGTCGATGGAGAATTTTAAAAATGTTTGGGACAAAAGTTTCTTATTTTTCGCCGGGGAATCTGCAATAAAAAGTGCCATGTTCCATTTAAAAAATTCGACTTTTGATCTGGATAGCCCATTTCCGGTCGGCACCGGAAATTGAAAATATCACCATACGATAGAACGTACCCGATTTAGTCATCGAAATTTTTGCGATTTTTGATAAAATCTATTTCTCTTTTTCTAAAAAGCTTGTACGGTGCTCCCTGTATATGAGGGAAAACTAAATTTCTCCAATTTAAAGAATTTATTAAGGAATTTTTTTATTTAAAAGCGTTAATATTTATGCATGCTTCTTATGCGAGGATAAATTCGACGTATGCGCGAATGTATTTCACGCACGATTAATTGCACATTGAGTAAGTTAGTAAGTTAGGTACCATGACAGTTAAGACCATCCCCCTGGAAACCGATATCGCAATGGCAGGCGTAGGTCGTCTGGAGATTCAGGCAGGACGCGTTAGCGTGACACTTGTGGCCCTTCGCGCAGTAATCCACCCCTGGTTAAATTGGTTAGCCAGGCAAATACGGAAGATGGTTAGAAAATGTAATTAACAAGGCCTAGAGGTTCTAGTGAGAAGACTGTCGCTCGATTTGACATCGGTAACCCTCCCATGCGTAATGGAGAACGTAATTAATTAGTGATAGAGAGTTCTTGCGAACTAGAATTATCTCATTCAACTTATAAACTCAAACTAAAATAAACATTACATGTCGTACATGTATACGTTTAGTAATTTTATGATTTATAATTCGTGTTCATTATATAACATAATTATCTATGCATCGTTGTCTTTTTTTTTTATTTTCGTGCTCTCTATAATAACTATATGATTCTCTTAATATTGAATAGTAGATTCATATATGGATGCATATATATTGACTCAAGATTAGCAGAAAGAAAGGAGGCTTGAAATTGCTGACAAAGAAACTTCATGCATGAGAGGGTTAATTAAAGTTAATTAAAGTTAATGCGCGAGCTATGCGAACTATGCTTTGTTTCTTTTTCTATGCTATTCCAGTCGCAAAACTTTCGAGAATATTTTATTCCTTTTCATGCTTGCCATTCTTTCAGGCTTATTATCATAATACATGCTACGTTGAAGTTCTATTCGTTAAATTTCAACGCTTGATAATATACAAGATATTTTATATAACGCGTACATCGTTTATAATAAAAATATATATAAGAAAGCTGATAAGAAAGAAACGCTTAATAAAATCAACTGTCTCTCGAGAATCGAGTAGATGTGAAATATCACATAGATGTATATAATAATAATTTTTTTTTTTTTTTTTTTTGCGAAAGTATCATGAATCTCAGAACGTTAGAATTCATTCCTATTGTTTTCCAAGCCAGAACCTACCTGGGCAAAATTTGCAGCACTCTTCCGCCACGCTGATTTGCTCGCTAGGTGGACACGGCAGTGGTGGGCACTTGACATCAGTGTCGAACCTCTGGCAGGTGAAGCTACCGTCGGAGCAGTCGCATTCGACGCATTGTTTCGGCGAGACCTTCTCGCCGTGATCGTATATTACGCCATGCAAGTAACATTGTTCTGGCGAAGCAAATGAATGACGAGATAAATAACGTGAGGCACAAGACGGAAGCGCGGTCAGTGGAACACAAAACACGCTACGCCAACTAATCAGCCAGTTGCGTGCGTGAAAGCGAAAAGATTAATTCACGTTAAAAAGGATGTTGTATTAGAATGCTCGAGAGAATTATTTTCTTGTGTATAAAGAATATGTGTGCAATGTCCTCCTCAAATGAAGAAAAAAGTATGAGATATGAGTGATTTATAAGCTAGGACATATTCTGAGAAAATAATAATCCTAAATGTAACAAAGTCTTTATATTAAATTTGATTTTAATCTAGATTTTTAATAATAAAAAAATAGTTTAACGTCTTTTTATTAAAAATACTGCCATTATAAAATTCGGAAAAGACGCGTCGATTGCGAACGTGAATCGAGATATAAGCGGCAATAAAAAAAAAAGAGAAATGTGGCATTTTACTTACTGAGACAAATCGGGCAACACTGTCCTTTAGGAATGACAGGATGCTTGCAGGTAGCCGGGGCGCAGGGCGTTGGCCTGCATTCGATATTGCCGTGGACGCAGGAACATTGCTGGCAACCCTTCTCCCAGGTCGCGCCGTCCTCGTGGACGGTACCGTTCGCCCTACAAGACTTTTGGCACTCGCACTCCTCCACTTTGCTTATTCTGCCCTCTGCAGCGGCTAGCTGAAAGGAAGGATGTCCATGAACAACCAAGTTGCCTTATTTATATCGCATTAACAGAAGTAGCGAGCCTATTGTGTGTTTATTGAAGGAACGTTCCATAAAAATAAGATTTCTAAACATTTTATATATAATTAATTATGCAATGAGATTATGAAAATACACATATATATATACATAATTTGCATAATATATACAGTTTATAATATTGAATTGAATCTCGAATCTTATCGCTCCAGCATAAGTGTGATATAAATGGCATATAAATTACTCACTCTATGGGTCAATTCCTTGACATTATCCAATAATCGTTCCACGGTATTCTGTAACGTCGAAAATTGACCGCATGTGGGGCAAGATGAGTCGAGCTGAGGACACTGGGAAAGATAACCGTGAGGTCCTGCTATTAGCTTGACGTCCTGTAAGGCACCCTGTGTTGCGGAAATCATATGAAAAGCTTAGTCGGGCGTCAAATATTCATAATATAATGAAATATATGTTTCTACTAACAAACAAAAACTAATAATATCTTTATTATAATAAAGTAAGGACATATAAAAAATATATAAAGATATAAAAAAAATTAACATAAAAATGAATGAGAGATTCTAATAAATAATAGAAATTATTTTAAATTGCATTAACAGAAGTAGCGAGCCTATTGTGTGTTTATTGAAGGAACGTTCCATAAAAATAAGATTTCTAAACATTTTATATATAATTAATTATGCAATGAGATTATGAAAATACACATATATATACATAATTTGCATAATATATACAGTTTATAATATTGAATTGAATCTCGAATCTTATCGCTCCAGCATAAGTGTGATATAAATGGCATATAAATTACTCACTCTATGGGTCAATTCCTTGACATTATCCAATAATCGTTCCACGGTATTCTGTAACGTCGAAAATTGACCGCATGTGGGGCAAGATGAGTCGAGCTGAGGACACTGGGAAAGATAACCGTGAGGTCCTGCTATTAGCTTGACGTCCTGTAAGGCACCCTGTGTTGCGGAAATCATATGAAAAGCTTAGTCGGGCGTCAAATATTCATAATATAATGAGATATATGTTTCTACTAACAAACAAAAACTAATAATATCTTTATTATAATAAAGTAAGGACATATAAAAAATATATAAAGATATAAAAAAAATTAACATAAAAATGAATGAGAGATTCTAATAAATAATAGAAATTATTTTAAATTAAAAAAAAAGTGTATTTTTTACGTGATTTTAAAAATATATAATTTTTGAATATGTGGCAATTATATTCATTATAGAATAATTAAATGGCGTATACCGTAGTAAAATATATTTTACCTTGAAGAGAAAGTGCCTGACATTTCTCTGTCCGACCCAGAGCTGAAGTTGCGGTAGGGTAAAATTCGTGTCGGGTGGACCAGGTCTCAGCAATCGCCTGTACAAGGGGTGACAGTCGATCAGCAGCTCGACCTGCAAGCCGCTTATGCTCAGGGCGACCCTGTGCCAGGCGCCATCGGCCAGTCGAAAAGGAAACGCCTCGACGTGTACGGTTCCGTCGTGGCTTGATACGTAATGAAGTCGAAGCTCGTCCTTGCGACCGCTGCTCTGCAGCTCCAAATACCTGATGCATATTTTATTCGAAATTATTCGATATCGATTATAGATTTATTCGGAATTTAATCTGAAATTATATTAATATTTCAGCTTGTAATTTTTATTATATATTGTATGTAATATTTATTATGCAAAGTGTTTTAATACTGGATCAACTACTCATTTTACAAGTATATCTTTCTTCATATTTATTTTCTGGCTTATTACTCTGTTATTAATATCGCGAAATTTGTTTTGAAATTCTGTAATGAATCAAGGATGATTCAATCTCTGATTATATTGATGAAAAAATTAAAGCTTGATCTTGCTCGCAAAATAATTAATTTACTCTGTTGCCGCTAAGTGTGTTTACGGACGATACGTAAATTCGAAAAAGCTTATTGACTTTTGGAAAGTTTATTGGATCATTTAAATTAATCGTAATTGTTGCATGTTAACCGTTATGTAATGTACGCGAAGACAAGCGTATTCAATTTGTGTTGCATAAATCAAAATAGCTAGATTGCAAAGTATCAACACATTAAATGCTCCTTCATTCTCGCTCGATGATTTTTATTGACACACTAACTTCTTTTATAGTCGACGCAATAAAGTTGTAAAACTTCAGAGATAGTCTCCAACGAAAAGATGGGAAATGAAATGCATGTAATAACATATTACGTACAATTGTTGCTTAATAATCTCGTTACGCGACTCGTATTACTCGACAGACAAATGCTTTACTGTTGGATAATAATTCGTTGTCCTAGTTATGTACATTGAATAACGCCGAGATGGTTATTATCAAATTATAAAGCTGATACGACAGTGGAATTATTGCGCTACATTAAGGAACAGAATGACATCATAAAATAATCAAAAGCAAAATATTCTACAATTATTCGTAAAATATTCTATCGAAACTTTTATTCGCGGATCCTAATAGATAATAAAGAAATATTCAGTTATCTCTCGTATCTTGTCACATTCTACACAATATTTTACGGTTTATAAAAAGTAAAATATATTCAAAATATCATTTCTCCTCTTTTACGGGGTATACATCATTCTGTATCACGCTCGAAATAGGTCACAGTTCGCTGTTTGTTGGCCATTCGGAGTCCGAAATTCTCGAGCAACTCGGAAGGGGGAGGAGGGGAGAGTAGCGCGAGGGGAATGGGAAGAAACTTTTCACTATTTCATACCTATTGTTCCCGTGCGAAAAGGCGACGATCGTCCCGGAATTGGCCTCATCTTGGCGCAGCGCGGCGGCTATAGTGAATTCCGGAAGTTCGCTGTTTGTTGGCCATTCGGAGTCCGAAATTCTCGAGCAACTCGGAAGGAGAGGGGAGGGGGGAGGCTAGCGCGAGGGGAATGGGAAGAAACTTTTCACTATTTCATACCTATTGTTCCCGTGCGAAAAGGCGACGATCGTCCCGGAATTGGCCTCATCTTGGCGCAGCGCGGCGGCTATAGTGAATTCCGGAACCTGCCGGAGTAACGCGGCCGCTCGTTCGAAGTTTGCCTCGTTCAGTCGGAGCTCCCTCTCCTCGCCTGAAAGTAGTAAAACACAGTAATTGGCGCGGCAAGATGGAATATGCGCGACCGACCGCAGTTCTTGCATTTCATGTAGCAATTTTTTCCATGTGCAGAATCCGTATCTAATATATTTTCCTGACGCGTTTAAAGTCCGCCTTATGTGCCAGACACATTAAAAAAAAGTAAAAGAGAATAAATATATATAATAAAGATAGATGGGAATATAAAATGGCAAGAAGGAAAAGAGAGTAAGAAATTTTTTTCTTTTTTTATATTATTAGATAATCACGAATTTTAGAATGTTGAATATAATGTAGCAGTTTGTAGGTGATAGAGGGGAGAATGCTTGTCGCATGCCATGCCTTGAAATCGATGCAGAGCTGATTTGAATTTTTAACCCGGTCGTCTCCGGGTAAAGTTAAGCCGCTTTCCAGGAAGTGATCCGAATTTAGAACACGACTATTATTTATTATTTGTCGCAATATTATGGCTGAGAATATGCCTCGGTTGTACAAAAGGAGTGATATTGAAAATTAATAATACAATGAATTAGAATACACACATGTAAGTTTTCTTAGAAACGGAGTAGCATGTATTTATGGTTTATTCATATCGGAATTTATTAAGGATAAGTATATTATTCATATAGTGTAGGAAACGGTTGAAATGCCAAGAATTTATAATATAATATCGCTTTAAACATGTATCTCTTCTTGAAAAAGATTTATAAAATTCATTCACTAACTCGCTTGCTTGTGCTTAATTGCCTTACGAAGTAGTCAAAATATTTATCGGATATAATTTGTCAGATTTTCGAGCCATATTTTTCTTAGTGCCAACACAAGCAAACAACCAACAAAAAAATTCCACCCACGTATTATCTTGAGATAACAACAATGTCATACGTTAAGTCGAACAGACGAATCGTCTGCTAACTGCAGTAATGCGAGAACTCGGCTATCGACTCGGTACAGATTAGAGCACGGCGATGTAGGCCACCCCGAATTTTTGGAGAGTATTTGGTCGAAGATTCTGTGCATCCGTTACGTAATCGTATCGACGGGAAAATACAAAAGCGCAAGGTGAATTAATAAAATATTGAAAATTTTTTTGCAGTTTTCGGATTCAACTTACTGTTCGCAAAAATACAAAAGTGAAATAAATAACTTGATAATAAAATTTTTAACAAAATGGATAATAATAAAATGTAATAATAAAATCGTAGGATATCATAAGCCAAATATTCTATAAATAATTATCTTTTCAAAATTTTATTCTCTGCCATCCTTTGATATGATTTTATATACAATATTAAATTTCCTAAAAAAGCTTGACGTGTATAACGTTTTAAGATTGGAAAGATTAAAATCAACATGGCATTCAATTATAATTACGAATGAAGGAGAATTGTCTGTGTGTGTGTAAATTCATAAAATATTTAATTGGTTGAATTATGTGTGAATAAATAACGATTCCTTGTATATTTTAAGATAGTATAAAATGATTTACGTGATAAACCCATAAAATTTCAAAAAAATGACACACTTTTATTTAACAAACGCATAGTACTGAATAAAAATTTGTAGTTTACTAAATATTGCCTATTATTACTATTATTAGATATTATCTATATATGTTTTATTTCGCGGATATAAATTATTTTTTTCTTCCCTTTCTCTTTTACTATTACTGAAACTCACGATATGCAAATCGATCATAGCTATACTTTGTGCATATTCAATTAACACGTCGCGTCGGAATGGTTGCTGCTTGTCTGAGTAGCTATCCATTAGATAGATTAATACGGCCATTTGGCAAATTACACCACAACTAAGCCGTTGCAATCGACAATCCTACTGTCCATTTAACGTGGCTTCAATATCATCATCATTAAGCGATTCGCGTAATGTGTCACTTGTGCAAACGAGAAATCCTGCAGCTGCGCTTGATCATGGATATATAATAGAAAATTGTTTGTCTTCCAGAATTAGGGATTTTAATTTTATAATATTAAATCTATTGAGCATTAGACTTTTAGCTTTCAGCATTGCTTTGTTGAAAAGAGAGAGATCAAGATATACGTTATTATATTTTGCAAATTATTCTTGTATTGTCACATTTATTTCCTAAATAAAAGTGTAATGGTCTATTTCTTTGAGTTTTAATGCATAACTTGGTTTCTTTTCTGGAAAAAAAGCTGTCCAAATAAGGGACACCTTATTATACAACTGCCGCGTGCAAAATGCAGCATGCTCTGCCGCTGGCTGGCTTCTCGCGGCGTATAAAGTGTGCCTCGAATTTCAGATGCACCGCCGGTACTCATAGAGTAACCAGATACTCGGCCGACAATAAAGCGTCGATGTCGTTTGCGCGCGAGGTCTCGCCACCTACGACGACGAAGAGGGTCGGCGACATCGTCGAGCAATTATGTACGCGCACGCTTAATTATAACATAATACCATCGGTCTAGGTGGTGGTGAGAGCGGAGGAGAGAGGTCGGCCCCGACTAGCGAGAAAACATCCCTACTGTACGTTGCTCGCTCGTCTCGAACGAAATCGTTCCGCGCGAATTGGCACGCACGAGCCAACCCTTGCACTTGAGCTGATACGGGCAGAAAGCATAATTTGACCGTGAAATTTTTATTTTCGTTATACGAGAAGACCGGATGCAGTTTCGAACAGCGGAAAACGATCGTTTGCCATGGGGTAGTTAAAAGGGGTTAAGATTATTTACTTTTTGTGTATTATAATACGATGCGGAAACAAGGAGAAGGTTCGGGATGCGCTTACAGCAACGTTCAATCATTTTTCCTTTCCAATTTCGGCGGAATTCGACAGTTTCGAAGAGCAAACGAAAATAATTTTAATGTTTATCTTTTCACTGGTATATTCAAATTGTGTAATGTTATCTCGGAGATCCAAATTGATATAACAATCATGATTATGTTTTTATCTTTTTTGCATTATGAGAATCATTAATGATAAGTTTTTGATTTTTAATATTAATTGTGATAAGATTCTTATATGATTACTGGTAGTACGACGATATCGTTTTGTCACAAGTCGAAGCAAGCTATAAAAATTGCAAGCAATCGATAATAGCTATTGCTTAAACACAAGATAAAGCTCGCGTGTATCGATCGTCCAGGCCCGCTTTCCGCGGCCGTTGCACTGCCGCCCACACACCCACGTGGCTTGTACACCACCCGCCGTCGGGGGAAATGCGGGGGTGCTCCGGTATAATTGGATACACCATGTTACACGGGGTTGAATAGACGCCGAGCTCTCGTCGGTACGAAGGGTCGCTTATTTAACGGGGACATCGTTTAACTCTTTCGGACGCGATCAATTTCAGGAAACGCGTATTCTGTGTCGCGTGCAAAAGTGAATTGTACAATCTAGTAACGAAGGGTTGATGAATATTACATTTTTACGCCATATTTTATCCATACTATAATTTAAATAAAGCAAACATTAAGCCGTGTCGAAAATATTGTGAAATGGACAACTTTCCGAAATTCAAGGGAACAATCGATACTCACTGTAGGGGAATACCCTCTCGTCTGTGAGCAAAGACACGTAGGCGATGCTATCAAACTGACCTTTCGTAATATCGATTAATCGCACGTTGCATAACTGGTATCGTATAATGAGAGACACACATGCATTAAAATTATCGCAATGTATTTTAATATACCTTTTTTTCTCAAGAAAAAATCATTTCGAAGCATGATTATATATATATGTCGAGTTATAAATTGATCGTAAAATATATAATCTGCTACAATACTGCATAGAAATAAATTAAGAATATATAAAATATATTTAGAAGTTATAAATGTATACATTTATACATGCTTAATATTTTCTTTGCAAACTGTTGCAGAATATATACATTTTTCCAAATATTTCTTTCATAATGCGTCGTAATATAACACACACATTAAATATTATATTATAATATTTAATCATGAGATTTCTTTGATAATTTTGATTTTTTTTTTAATTTTTATTTCCAGAGATTTATTTTGTATTTTATTATCATATATGTTGTCATTCCCAACTTAATTTTCAAAGAATGAATTTCGTGATGCGGAGATAAGTTTCGTGGATTATATAGAACGTAATCATCGTCTTTACAAGACGTAATAATTGCAGCGTGTATTATACGAGGAGCGAAAGGAGGATCGTTCGTATAAAGAACGACCTGGCGGTATGCAAATTAAGGGAGTATTTGGGTTAAGAGAGTATTATCGAAGTGGCAGCTTCGTGTACGAGCCATACGATTTATCGCGTACGATATATCGCAGCTCAGAAGGGATGTGAATCATGAAAAAGGTTTTATTTCCTGTTACGTCTATACATGATGTGATAGATGTAATTGCAAACGCGCCTTAATCAATTTTCTATCGTTACGATATGTTGTTTAGATATTAAAATATTAAGATTATAATTCGCAGAGTTGTGTGCAAAAAAGATCATATTTTCTATAAAAATTTGTTATTAAAGTACTAAATAATTTTTATAGAGAATTGGATGAGAGTTTGTAAGAGAAGAAACAAAAACGATACTATTTGATTATTGATCGATTTTTTTTTCTGCAGAATAATTAAAGACTAACGGCACTATTTCAAAATGGCTAAAAATTTTTTTTATTTTTATCTGAACGATAATTGAAGATCGCGAAAGCGTTTCGGATAAAAGATGAGAGATCGAAAATGCCGGACGAAATCGACTCACCCTGAAGATAATAAGCTGGTCTCAGCCTAACCAGACCCGGCACCTGTGTAACGCCCTGCCGAGTAGTATTGTGCAGCTGCAGCGCTGCCAATAGATCTATACTTCCTCCAGCATCGCTTCCCGTTCTGGTTCTCGTGCCCAGGACCACGGTATTCTCTTCCGTAACCGAAGATGCCGCCGTCTCTTCCTCTTTCTTATTCGTCGTTCCAGACACTGAAACAATCAATTACGATGTTAATTCAAGAAGCAATGTATTTGATTTTTTACACATTATGTAAATAATATTGAAACAGTGAGTTAGTTTCCAATTTCAATGATAAGAATATTAACGAGAGAATGTGAATTATATATATATATATATATATATATTATAATCGAAAAATGAAGATATTATAAATTAACGCAAAAAAAAATAGAAAACTTTGATGAAGAATTAGAACTTTACTTGATCTCTTATAAAATATTTTCTCGCTTGTACGTATCATATGCTAAAAACTAAATTTCAATAATGCAATTATAGCGAAAACGACAACCTCATCTCATTTCGAAACTTTCGTTTTGATCGTCGAATCAGAAGGACCGAAAAGGGAGAGGAAGAAAAAAAGGAAGAAAAAAAAGATCATAGACGGCATAGAGTTCCCGAAACAGTGGTATTGATCGGTTTTTCCCCGTTCTATGAAGCCTTCAACTCTTTCCGCGAAATCGTTCGCCTCGTAAACAGCTTGCTTTATCTATCGCCCTATGTGAAATCCATTCCGCCTCTGTCGCGCCGGCTTCACGTTGATAATGATTGAAGTCTCGCGAAAAAAAAAAGCTCGCCCGTCTGTCCGCTCTCGGCGGACTCCCTGCTCGACTGGGGGCTACTTTCGTGATGAGCGACAACTCTTGACGTTTGGTTACATGAGACATACGCTCGCTACGAAAACTCTGATCTTTCCTTCTGACAGCGCTGAGTGGTAGACTGTCAGAGAAGGATAATAGCTAATAGGATACAACTGATGCATAAAGTCTGAAATATTTTTAACTCGCCTGTTATATTTATATCGATGAAAACGAATCTTGGAATTAACAAAATTTTTCTTTAAATTTAATATCGAAATAAAAAAATCTTCCATTATCATGCACGACTTGTTATTCTAAAAAATTTATACTTTTCGGAAAATGCTTGTAAATGAAATTTTAATGTTGTAAGTTATCATTTCTCCATAATTCAGAAAAATTCTAATTTATATAATTCAGTTTTTTTATTTTATTTAGTTGAACTTAACCAAAATGATGTATGTAAATTAGATAGATAAATTCTGAGTCTTGCTAATATAAAATTGATTAAACGTTAATGATTATGAAGATCTGAATATTCTGGTCTGTCCAATATTGAATGCAATCCGATTATAAATATTTCTAATGATTTAAATATTAGGAACTCCTATCTCTCTTTTGAATAATAGAAATGGATTAATAAACGATGCCACAAATCGGCAACAAGGACTTTCAATCGATTGAATTCGTTGTGACAATATCGGAAAATGAGAGAGTGGAAACGTGGAGTTAATGAATAAATCAAAACGTAAACAGTGTGCTGGCAGCAAATCGCTCGCCAACAGGAAGGCGTGCGTTCGAAAATGATGTGATTCGTTTAGATACAGTCGCTGAAATCTGGAATGATATTTTTATCTTGCGTTAAGAAAACACCAGTAAGCAAGTTTACGATTATTTCACGTCTTCAAAGTTTATTTATGTATATATGTATCTCTTTGAGTATTAGAGAGATTCACATATTGCGAGGTATAAACACATTATACAAGTTAATGTTTCTTGTATCACAGGAACAAGAAAGATTAAATTTCTTTTTTTGAAAATAATCCACCGCACATGATCCCTCATGTAAACGTGTTCTCTTTCTCTGATCGAACACTGAACACAGAGAGTAAACCTTTTTAAAAGAAAAAGAACTTAAACTAAAAAAATATGACGATTAGTCTTATCTAAATAAATATTTTTTCATTATGCAAAATTATAATTTAATTAATTTGTTTGTTGTACTTTATGAGTCTTTCGATAACGAGATAAAAATGTGAGAATATATTATATAATTACATTTTTTATCGCGTATAGATATTTAATTATCGCAAAAGCGAGCGAATTATATCGTACATTACATGCCCGATGGATTTTGCCTCAACACACAATCGATTATTGCAATTATTGGCGATTACGCGAAATTTCAACGCTAATTAGTTTCGAGTGAGTTTACGTATGAATGCTTCAATGGTGCGTTGTTTCCTCTAATTACGCAATGTACGCGTAAAAGGAAACCTTAAGAACTTCCTTCTTCCTTTCATCCACCTGTTTTTGCAACACGAGAAAGATATCCGTTACCTTAGCTCTCAAGACTTTGGCGACATTAATCGGGCCAAATCATCTGGCAAATTAATGTCGTCATCGACTCGATCTTGTTATCCAAACTTGTTTGCCAATGCATGTCGGACTTCTATTCATAGGCGTCGTCTTCATTGCATTTTGAATCTATGACTAGTTTTGCAATCGCAATCTAACATAATAATAGCGGTTGAATTGAAGATAACATTATATCATAAATTTTTGCTCTTCAATTTTGAAAAATATTTTTATGCATCCGCGCGTAACATTTATATTTGTGTAGCTGTACATATAAAAGGAAAATTTTTAATTTTATAAAAAATAAAATATTTTATTATATTATCATATTTTAATTATATTTATCTTATCATGTTGATGTTTACAAAATATTATCCCACATTTTTTTCGTATTACATTATATTAACAATTACGTAATATAAAACTGTTATCTATCCGGTTAACGAACCGGAGTTGGTTTTCGAAGAATAGCGCCTATGTGACTGCTGCACGTAGTTACGCAAGAGAGTTTGTATTGTCGGTGACAAGGAAACGCGTGTAAGTGCTCTAAGACGAGATGACGTCGGATGAAATGGGATAGAACGGAATAGTGGCAGACTGCCGGGCGTCGCGACGCCCAGTATCGAACCGTACGCGGTATTATATCGTCAAATACTTGAGCGAGAGATTCAGCGAGAGAGAAAGAAAGAGAGAGAGAGAGAGAGAACACACTCGTGACACGTGGTGATTGTCCTGGCACGATCGTTACCATCACGATTTCTAGCATTCATAATCATTGACTACAGTTATATCGATAAGTCGAACGGCATAATCGCTTCCGATTCTCTGATACATTTTAACCAAATTTTATCAATGAAATCATATTACACGATTAATATAAAAATTAAATTATATATATATATGTATATAATTTTCAAATATATATTATAAGACACATGAATTTAATATAATATCTGTTAGATATTATAATTTGAAACATATATTGTGTCGATTAATTTGGATTACTCTCATGCTACTAATGACTAAAAAAAGATCTTATTCCCATATTTTTACATTCTTGTTTCTCGCTCGATAATTCGTGTCGTACACGAATGTCCCCACTGTTCGTCATGCTGTTCGACATCGAGTTGTTAAATCGCATCGGTTGATTGTCGCATGCCGTGTCTTTCATTCACGTCGACGATGAAGCGAGTACCGAATGCCAGAGACTGTGTGCTCGCTAGAATCGATAACACGCGACGGTCAAGCCGTGCGGAAACCAACCCGTCCTCGTACGACTCATCGATCGACACCTTCCGTTCCTCCGCCACCACCGGTCCCCCTTGGCACCGGGTCTTGCGGCCGGCCCTCCTCGAGGGGGTCGCAGTCCCCGGAAGCCCGGAACCGGCAAGACAGACCGGGGACAACCGCGTGCGCGTCGATGAATTTCGTTAGATACGCACGAACGCTCATTATCGAGACATTCGTTCTTCCGTGCTTGATGTATGTTGCTAGCCTCGGTGGACTTTTTTTTTACACTGCAAATATTGCCATGAAATATCGTGCGCGACAGACGATATCTTGGTTCTCTTTAACTGTTGACGAAATGTTGATGATATGCGACAAAAATAGACTAACGATGCGGAATTCGTGCTTGCGTTTGCGAAATTGTTATATGAAGACTAACATTACAATAACGAAATTCTGCCTCATTTAAATCGATTAATCGATTAATTTATATAGAAAAGATGATAGATAAAATTTGTATAATTAATGATAGATAAAATATCATCGTCTCACATCCGTAATATTTTTCAAGATATGTTTATTTTTTATTATTATTTTAATAAGAAAATTAGAGAAATTTAATTCACAAATATATTTACTAGTCAGAAATTTTCTCATAATTTTGATATTGTCGAGCAAAAATACTAATATTTGGAGATTTCTTCCTTTTTAGCGTTGATGTTTCCGATCTTTAATTATCTTGTCACTGCCATTATAAAAATGAGAAGACACCAACATGACACTGTTCTTTTCATAACGAGAGATGACATATTTATTTTATAATAGCATTGCGACCGTTCGTTCATTCTTGATATATCGTACTTATATTCCAGAAATAAGCGTTCAATGTTTGCGTTTACGTAACTCCAAGTAATGACTAAGGAAAAATAAATTCTGTTGATCTATTTTTGCGACCCCATTATGTTCGCCGGTTACTTCACAACATCGATGATATATGTGTCGCTTATCGTGGTGAACTGTGATCGATTGACGAGAAAATCTGGCCTTTCCTGCTCATCGAGATAGTTCACGATCGACTAGCCCGGGCATCGGAAATCACACGCCAGAAATCGTCGATCGGACGACGGCGTTTCGCGGCATCGGCGTGAAAAAGCGATGTCCGACACGTAAACCCCGTCGCCATGTTACGTTTGGCATTTGATTTTTCTGGCAGTGGATCTTCAAATTTTGCCGGTGCGACATAAGCGACCATCACCTCGCTCGTTCGATCTTCAAACGGTCAAGGTCGCGGCTCTAGTTGGTCGACGACTCGCCTCACGCTAGAGTAACCTCCTTTTCCATCGATATTTTCCTTTTTTTTCACGTCGACGGAGTAAAAAAAGCGAAAGTAGAAAAAAAAAAGACTAAAGCCATTAAATCTTATTATAGATACAGAAAAGTTCTTGCTCTCCTTCTCTTTAAACAACATATTTTTCTAAAACTTTGAAAATTTATTTACTTCTTTTTTAAAATAGTAAATCGCGAAAGTAAAGCTTCCTGATTTTTTTTTACGTGGCGTGAATATTATATTTTATATACAATTATTAATT